ATAAATTTGCCCACGGCGAGAGCAAACAAGAATGTGACGAGAAGGTAAATAATCGGTGGGACATTCATCCGCAGGGTCTCCAGGGCGCCTGACGGCGGTGCCGCAGTTACCACTGCCTGGGAGGACGTTTCACGACCCAGTTTTCTCATTGCGGCCTGACACTAGTAAAAAATAAATGCAAAAGAAATGCAATTACACGCATACACAACAACTCACCTTTACACTTTTAAGTAGTATTAGTTAAAAAATTCACGCAGATTAATTGCGCTCACATACTCGATAGAAAAGTACTACAACTAACGTTTTTGATAATTCTAGTCAAAACTAGGCCTGGAATGGCAATCACTTCAAAAAGACTGAAAATAAATGATGAAAAAATGAAGACGGGGAAAATGGAGGCTAATGTACGGAGCCACCTAGTCATGGAAATGAACACAGAAGGAACAGCCCACGCCAATTACCGCGCTAACTTTCGAGAACTTCACCTTCTGGCAGAACCAAAACTCGCCAAAATAAAGGCAGAAGATCGCATTCTTCAGTGTAGAAACACGTGGCATGTAGCACTGGTATCACCGTGATCAATTGTTAGTGTCTTGCAAATAGATATTACGTGACAAAAGTACATAATAAAAGTAGCTTAAACCGACTTTTGCATCTAGAAAAAACCCAACAACTCTTAGAGACCTCTAACACAGCCATTCAAGTAAGTAAAATGTGCAATTTCATGACTATTAACGATAGACAAAGATATCACCAGTGGAATCAACCTGATACACAAGAGGTCAATGATGCGAGTTGAGTAGGTCAGAGCAAACCGATTTGTGTGCGTACACACAGCCACAGCACACAACGGCGAATAATGCAGGCACCCCGTGCGACGTGCATGTAAAGAGAACAGTAATGTGAAAGGCATACATCGTGAGTAATTCAAAGACGGGAACCTGAGGGGTAGTAATCGCGAAAAAAAAACATGGAGATGAAGCGGAGCCAACTCACAGGCAAATGTTCAGTGATTATCTAATTAAATTAAAAATGCGAGTGAATCTTCCGAATGGAAAAAAGTATGATGGGATTCAAACAAATACAAAAAAGATGAATAAAACGGAAGCAATTGAAGTACACACCTTCAGTTCCTCATTTTCCTTGCGAAGTTTCTCCAACTCCAGAGCAAGCTGATCATTTGTGTCTGTCAACACGGCGCCGCTAGGCTGTTTAAGACGCAAGAATCCGCCATAAACATTTAAAAAAAGGAGAAACATCATGAGTTATGGTTTAAACAAACCTGGTCTTGACCTGGGAAGGTACAAGTAAAGAACTTCTCTGAAACCCGAGCTTTATCCACCAGCTGCCACTAAAGAGTACGAGAGAGGATGAAAGAAGGAATGCAAACATACAAATTGGCTAAGGGAAGGAGGCATTTCTTCGGATGCTACAGCAGATAAGAGAGCTAATCGATCTCGCGATTCACCGCTTGATTCAACACCAGCAACAGTCGACACTTTAATAATTCTCATTTCACGGGCTTTAATAACATCTTCATTTGGCGTAACAATGTATCGCTTGGGCGCATTTGTCTTGACTTTAAAAACAACATCCCTCGGAGATGTGTTTTGCACAGTTAAAGTGCAAGAAGAGGCCTCACTAACAGGACCTATACCCAATTAACAAAGGAAACCCAAACCTACCTTCAAATACAAGCTCTTCCGGTTCGCATTTCAAGAGGTCATCTGGCATTCGAAGAGTGCATTTGAGGCGAGCATCGGTAATTTGCGAAATACTGGCGTCCCTCCACTATAAATTCGTATAGAATAACACAAACAAAAGTTACGATTTGCTCCAAACTGCCCTCAGGTTCACGATCAAGAACCATGGATTGGATCATAAACTTATGCTTGTTCTTCTCAGCTCCATCACAATCAAAAGGCTGTAGCATAACTTTAAGGGATGATTTTTTCACAAATTTCTTACCAGCTACATTAACAGTCTCTGATGGTTCAACGATGCCACAACTGGGACGCACACAGTAGCGTTTTGGAACCGTAGTCTTTACCTTAAACGTTATCCTATCATCGGAAGGATTCGTTAACTTAATGATAGATGATTGAACATTCACAAAAGGACCTAGAAGTGTCTACAAAAGCAAAATGTAGAATACCGAAAAAATCAAGCTCATTGCTCGGCTCGATCTTCAAAAGGGACTTGTGGGAACCAGCCATATCAAATTTTGCACCTTATCAACGCTAATGAAAGCATATGCCGCGGCGCTTGATGATTGGTCGATAGGGAAGTTGCGCCAAATTTCGAAAAAGTTAATATCTTACAAATATAAACCATTCAAGCTTATTAACTGGCATCCTAGTATAGTAAGGGTAGTATCGTTTTAAAAACTCCTGTTAATAGTGATGGTTATAGACTAAATTTTATGTGAAAAATCGAACAATGTCGAAGTTTTAGTTCGCCACTTATATGAGGAAGTAAACGCAAATACCATATTAATGTTGTAATGTATACTAGTGAGTGTAAGTTTTTTTCGATTAGAAAAGAGGTGAAAATTGTTTCAAACAATTTCAGCTTGTGAGATCGTAAAGTGATGTTCTCAGGCCGACATTGGCTTTCCATCTCACCAGTTTTCCTTCCATTTGCTTTTTTTCTGTACATGATGCTTAGTAAAGCCTCCTCATCTATTTCTCGCCTAAAGTCAGAATTTCAGGAGTCTGAGAGTGTGCAGACATGTTCCACAAGTACTGATCTCGACTTACTATGCAAATAAGCTTTCAGCAAGCACTCGGTCTTAGGTACTTTCTTTACTTGCAATGCTTAGTCTATAAGACCTACTTATGTGTTTAAGTTGGAGCATGAATCCAACTTTGAGGAGTCTGGAGGGC